CTAAAGCCCAGATTTATCTCATACCTCCTTAACGCATTCTGATACTACAACTTTTCATCAAGCAGTTCAAGAGCACTTTTCAGTAAGTACCTCTCTCTTGGAATTAACTTGTCGTGTCCTGTAGCTTTGTCATCGATAGCCTTTATTCTTTCAAGCCCTTTTCTCACAATCTTAATAGTACCATCAGAGTACTTATTCAGCTCACTGAACCTCATGAATCTTTTAGAATTCTCGAAATTCTCATCAATCACGCCAAACTCTAGATTATGTTTATGAGATACTTGGTACCATATGTTTTTATTAAAATCATTGCGCCGGTTTTTTGCAGGAAACATTTACGGATGAGTGCATCATGAAAACTAAACAACAGTTTGGATATACGGATGAATATTATTTACAAATGATTGTATTTCGTTATTTAGTCAAGAATTTCAAGTTTTGTGATGAGCTCTGAGTATATGGGTTTAGAAACCCAATACGTATGCAATTATTTGTTCATTCAATCTTACTAATACACCGTATTAACCTTCAACCTTATATATTAGTTGACTTGAAAAATAACCACACAAACTCATGATTCAAGGCCAAACTAATATTTCAGAATATACAGGATATATATATACAGGAGCGATCAAATGCAAACCACTTAATTTGTAGAAACTGTGCAAACCTCATTCAACCAATCATAATTGTTCGTTTTGTTCATTTTTTTTTTTTGTAATTATGAGAGGTTGATTAATCATTTTTATTGTGGAGGGTGTTAATCATGGATCTTATCATCTTCATTATTTTAATTTTAGAGAAATACATGAAACAGCTTCATTAAAATTTCATTAACTATTATATGAAACAATTTCATAACCATAATGAAATAACTTCATCAAAAAAAGTATTATATGAAACAATTTTACAAGATTAAACAATGTCATGAAAAAATTTCATAAGATTAAACAATGAAATTGACGGATGATGGTGGTTTGCGCGGTTTGTACAAATTGGGTGGTTTGCATTTGATCGCTCATCTCTCTCTCTCTCTCTCTATATATATATATAAATATATATATATATATATAGCAATAAGGAGAAGTGAGTACACTTGGAACCACCAGAGCTGCATCCAGAAATTTTGAGGCAGATTAGACAAAGGTTTGCACAACAAAGACAACAGTCTCAATGGTTTAATCAAATGAAGGCATCAAGATTGTGCTGGACATCAAGATCAGAACTTTTGCGTATAAAATCATCAAGTATCTAGACTACACTGTGGAAATAGCTCGTGGGTACAATCAGCGTCTATTAATGACAATGATTTGATCAACCTCATTCCATAGGGCTTGGCAGATTTATGGGCATTTGCAAACTAGAGGATGGATAAAGGTATGATTTTCTCAATGGCCAAGACAATTATTCAAGAGGTGATAGGCCAGCTAGTCAGATACAGAGATAAACTTGATTTCCATATAGCTCTGTAGACTAGTGAGGAAGAACTCTCTGTAACAGCTTTAAACGAGAATTTGGAAGGGATAGAGAATGTACGCTCTACCACCATCTTAACAGATCTAGAATTAGGCTTATCTATAAAAATGAGCTTAGACAGAAGAAATTTATGCGGATACTAGAAGCTTTCAAGTACTCAGTTTCTACGTTGAAATGGATTAAAGGAGAAGTTGGGAAACAGATACACAGATCTCATCGTCCAAGAGATGATGCATTGGAATTTACAATAACAATTGAATTTGTGCTCAATAACAGAGGATTGATTATGAATGGTAGAAGATCTTCAACAACTATTCTCACTACGCTTGAAAGAATCTTGTATAATTTCAATTTTCCTTGTAATTTCAATTTTGTCTAGTTTAACGAAATATCTACGAAGGATCTATTGACCTCTTGCTTTTCTTATAGATCTTACTTTTCCTTTTTTATGTTTTATTCATGCTTAGGGGGAGAATGTTAAACCCTATAATTTTGATTTATTAGAGTATGAAGAAAGCTTAAGGGTTGGTCGACTAGAAACCTCTTCATCGAGAAACCAGAAGCACTACTCCGAGGAACCAGAGGCTCTGCCTCTACTTCTGGTCTCACGCGCCTAACCTTTCCCGCCCAAAGTTTGTTGGAGCTACTTTACTCGTGGAGCATTTATATTGGATCTTTCTTTGACTTTCCTTTCTAGGCCTATAAATATGAGATCATGCTTAGTTCATTTGATAAGCTTTTCGAAGAACAACATTCAGATTTCTTGTACTTCATGATCCTCACGATCATTCAATTGTAATATGAACTCAACCAATAGACTATATTACTATGATGACATCTCAAACAAATTTGTGATCTTATTCTTATTGTTTATCTTATATTGCTTTACCATGTTTAGAGCATTTACTACTTCTCACATCGATATTTGTTTATTTGATCTAAATTGAGAAATCTTGAACCAACATAACCTACCGAGGATTCCTTTCCCCGAATCCTGTCGGGGATTAATTGGGGGGAGGGTCAGGGACTAGGGGCTTAAATAGGTCCAGGGACGGGGGATGCATTACCTGCCACATTTCCATCTGATGGCTTGGAATTGTAAGTGTTTACACAGTAGGCACAAAGTCCCTACAGTGGCAGTGCAAGTGCAAGTCGACATTATGATCGCTTCAATTAATAAAGTGGTATAATACCATGATCGTTTCCACATGGATTGGACTACTGAGAATCAGAGAGTTTTATGAATTTATTGAGCATATTTTGGTTTTTAAATAAAAGTTGAGTTTTGTTGGTACAAAGCTTAGAATACGATATAAACCTTTTCAAATTAAGAGATGGGTATGGGTGTAAGTTTCCCTTAAGAAGATTGTAGGAACAGTATGGTCAGAAACTCATGGGACTTCTATAAAAACTCCAATCTCTCGAAAGTTAATTTTCATATATTGAGCCTAAGGAGTGCCCACAAAGTGCCCACTGTTATCAATTTTAAACATGTCGAATTAGCTAAGTGATAAAAAGATATATAGTTCCACTAGCCTGAAGATTTATACTCAAATCTCTTTGTAGCATAAATCTCGACTAATAATTTAATATTAGCTAAAAATATGCAAAATCCGTATCTCTACGTGATTATCAAAGACGCTCTAAAATCTTTGTGCATCACTTAAGTCGTATTTCGAATTCATCCATCGCTGGATCAATGATCTAATATTAACACTTCATAGTGATCGGCTTATATACGCTGAGTTTAAGTCCCGACTTAAAGTGACTAAGCTTAAGAATTAATAATAATGGCAACACCAAGTGTGCCTTCAAGTTCTTAAGTTTGACTCACACCCACACCCAAAATGGGTGATTAGCTCATAATAAAATTACAGAACATAGAAGAAGAAGAAGATAAATGCATAAGAAATACTTGAATTGAAAGTTTAATAAAACTGTTGCCTTCAGTGGGCATACAATGAACGTAAACGTAACTGAAAGTTAAATACGAGACAAGAAGTAAATACAGAAAGTTAAACTTGAACTACTACTCTAGATCTTTAGTTGAGAGTAAATGCTCCAAGAGATGTGTTTTCCAAATGAGAGTAAATGCTTCAGTTTATAGGAGAAAGAGAGAGATGAACATCCCTTTTACCCAAAGGAAGAAAGCTTTCTTCAATCATGAGTACAAATACTTCATTACATATCTTGCAAAATATTTAGGCCTTGTCACCTTTTTTTGAAAGGATGAAAAAGGTAAGCATGACTTTTCCCTTAAAATAAGGAAAAAAACACTTTATGACGTTTGTTTTATACAACAAGGCCTATCCCTTTAAATATTGTGAGATTTTCATATTTGACTGTAGAATTAATTCTCTTAAATACCCACAAAAATAGGTATTTAAACTTATCCAAATCCGCTTTGAAGAAAATGTCGAAGTGGGCAGAAAGTGAGCAGACAGTGGGCATTTTCCAACAATGACGGTTTTTCAGAATAGAATTAAATCATTGATCTTTCATCACCTCGTACAACATTTTAACAAAAAATACAAGATAGAGGCAAAATGGGTACATAAAACACATAAAAATAAGAGTATTGAACAACAAATAACTCTCAGAATTGAGAGTTATCACCATCCCTAGCAGTAACTGAAGAACGACTCAAAATGACAAATGTAGGATTTGAGATGATGAACGATAACAATAGTAAGCTCGAACAGTTTCTTGCGCAACATAAAAAAGTCAGAGGTAAAGAGGCTCATTTTGAACTTAGATATACATTAATTGATCATTTACGGGACGAACATAATAACTCAAAAAATTAGTATAATTTAATTTTGTTTTTAATTTGTATTATTTGAATTCATGTATTTTTTTTTTCTTGTAATGTAAAATTTATTAAAAAAGTTGTCTTATTTTAACGAAATTTCATTAAATTAAATCCTTATTTACTATGATAGTTATTTAACAAATTATAAATGTTGTATTTAAAATGATTTAATAATGATGAAATATGTTTTTTATATACATACACTGGTTTGTTGTTCTTTTTAAAATATAACTAGAGTTCGATTTTCTTTTTCGGTTTTAAAGGAGCGTCAATTTTAATGTTTTTAGTGATTTTTCAATGTCGTGGGTTGGAATAAAAGCATTCACAATGGTCAATTCATATGAAAAAAATCAACAAAAAAATATATATGTAGAAAAAATCCCGGTCCTATTATAATATGCATTTTCTCTTTCTTTGCTTCTTCAAATACTTTGAAGTCGTTGATAAAAAAAAATCATCTTCAAATTATCAGCTCTAATGATAAAGTCATCTTTAAACAACCTTAGAAATACTATGATAGTCGTAGTTGTTACGGATCTTAAAAAATGACATATCTCACAGGAATCCCTCTCTCCCTCTATATTTATAATTTGAAAGAATGATTATGGGGCTTTAATTTGAGTTAGGAGATGGATATAAGACTCTCATCAATTTTATATCCCTATTTGAAGCGGTGGATACAATTGAATTCGATAGATAGGTAAGTAGACAAAGACACAGGTGCATGTGTGCGTGGGTGGCTCGTGAAGACACAAGAAAAGAAAGAGAGAGGTGTTTTTGTCATGATATATGTGTGCTTGTCTGTGGGGATAAAGAAAAAAGATAAAGAGTTTTTTTTTGTGTTTGCCTTTTTAGAAATCTTTTGCCTCGTTGTCTCTGAGTTGTTGAAATATCTTCTCTCTTTCTTCTTTCTGATTTCTGGATGGACTCAACGAGGAGGATTCCAATCTCAATCTCAATCTCAATCTCAATCTCTCCTCTCTTCTTTCCACAATTATTGCAGTAAAACCCATCCTCTATCTTGTTGACTACTTACCCCCCTTCTCTTTCAGCAGCTCAAGTAAAGAATGAATGGTGTTGCATCTCTTGATTCAGATCAATCTGAGTTTGTTGAAGTAGATCCCACAGGGAGATACGGAAGGGTAAAAATCCTTACTTTTCCTTGTCATTTCTTTGTGTTTTTGGTCAATGATGACTAAAAAAGCTCCGATTGATCTTGTTGCAGTATAACGAGATTTTGGGGAAGGGAGCTTCAAAGACAGTGTAAGAAAATTCTTTAAATTTCTGCAGTTTTCAGTGGTTTTTGGTTGATGGGTATTTGGATTTTCATCGATTTGTTTTGAGGTAATTATGTGTGATCCACAGATTGACTTGTGTCTATGTTTTTTCTTGTGTCCAGTTATAGGGCTTTTGATGAGTATGAAGGGATAGAAGTGGCTTGGAACCAGGTAAAGCTTTATGATTTCCTTCAAAGCCCTGAGGATCTGGAGAGGTTGTATTGTGAAATCCATTTGCTAAAAACCTTGAATCACAACAACATCATGAAATTCTACACATCTTGGGTGGATACTGCCAACAGGAACATGAACTTTGTCACTGAGATGTTCACTTCTGGTACCCTTAGACAGTAAGTTGTTCCCAAACCAAAAATCTTGAGTTTCTTGCTTGTTGACCCTGATTTTTATATTGATTTTGGGTTAGGTATCGGCAAAAACACAGGAGGGTTAATATAAGAGCAATCAAGCATTGGTGTAGACAGATCTTGAAAGGCCTGCTTTACCTCCATAGCCATGATCCTCCTGTCATCCACAGAGATCTTAAATGTGACAATATTTTTGTTAATGGGAATCAAGGAGAAGTCAAGATTGGTGATTTAGGGCTAGCTGCAATCCTCCGTAAATCTCATGCTGCTCGCTGTGTTGGTAGGTAGCCTGAATTCTCACATATATAACACTTGGTTAGCCATATATTTTTGGGCATTGTTCTTGTTGAAAGAACTTCAAAATGGTAGCATATGCATGTATGGAAGGTTTTTTAATGGTAGATTGTGATGGATACAAAGTTGCACTTTGGATATACTTGTCATCATTGTAAGTAACTCATTTGTGTAATCCGCAAATGCATTTAACCTAGTGATTAAATGCGTTAGCGATCAACATTTGATTTTGCATCTTTTTTGTTTCCTCTCAGGAACACCAGAATTCATGGCTCCTGAGGTTTACGCTGAGGAATACAATGAATTGGTTGACATTTATGCCTTCGGAATGTGCATTTTGGAGATGGTCACATTTGAATATCCTTACAGCGAATGCACTCATCCTGCCCAGATCTACAAGAAAGTTATTTCAGTATGAACTCGTTAACTTGTTTGTATTTTTGAATGGAAATCAAATACAAGGCATGATAATTTCACTGTTTTTTTATCCGAAATAGGGGAAAAAGCCGGATGCTTTGTACAAAGTTAAGGACCCTGAAGTGCGACAATTTGTGGAGAAATGTCTTGTTACAGTTTCTCTTAGGCTTCCAGCAAAAGAGCTGCTGAAAGACCCCTTCCTTCTGCCTGATGATTATGGCTATGATTTGAGGCCAATCGATTATTGGAGAGAATTTGACCGAATACCTCTCATGAATAATCATTTTACCAATGGCCCACCACCCGATAACTACTCTAATTATCTTGGTTATGAACCGGAAGGGAATGAAATTGAACTATTCACGACCCAAGAAGAAGACCATCTTGAAGACGTTGATATTTCTATCAAGGGAAGGAGGAGAGAAGATGATGGTATATTCTTAAGGCTACGAATTGCAGATAGAGAAGGTATGTATGTGGCTTTACTAAGACCATGTTTGATAAACCATTAACTAGCTTATTGAAAAACCGTGTTTGGTAAGCGATAAGCTACTTTAGGTTCCTTTTCCACAAGCTCGAGGGTGTTTTTTTCATCATTTTAATTCAATTGTGCTCCTTATATATTTTATAAAAATGACCAAAAATTGAGTGGCTTTTAGGTAATTTTACTTCGTGATCTAGCTTATCAGCTAGTTATTACTAAATGTGACTAGTTTATAAGCTATCAACTAGCTTGCCAAACATAACCTAAATAGAATAGTAAACCTTTGTTACTTTAACACTCAAAAGGAATTGTCTTAATTATAACTGCAGGGCGTGTTCGGAATATTTACTTCCCATTTGACATTGAATCCGACACAGCATTTAGTGTTGCAAATGAAATGGTTTTTGAGTTGGATATCACCAATCAAGATGTCCATAAGATAGCCGACATGATCGATGGTGAAATTTCTTGTTTGGTGCCAGAATGGAAAAGGGAGTTAGGCCTACTAGAAGAAAGCCCTCATCATGAAAACAACGGTTACTGTCAAAGTTGCGAGTCAAATGGTTCTCGAACCAACTACTTGTCCACAAGAAGTACTCCAGCCAAGAACCTACTTCACTGCTCAAGACACCATTGTGGTGCTATTCATGGCCGCTTTGAAGAAATAACATATCAATTTGAAGGGTCCGAGCAGTGTGTTACAGAAGGTGCACCAGTTGTGTCGAGCCAATCTGATGGATTACAGTATTCTGATATATGGGCACAACATGAAGTAGGCACCAGCGAATATCAGTCATGTACCGAAGATGAACCAGGAGAAAGAGAAGTTAGCAAGTCCTTCAAGTTAGGGGTATTGGAGGAAACCGAGACCGCTTCAGCCGCTCCTGATCTTACTGATGATTACGAAAATGAGATTCGACAAGAATTGAGGTGGCTCAAGGCTAAGTATCAGATGGAGCTAAGGGAGCTACGAGATAAACAACTAGGGCTCGCACCAAAAGTTGTTGATTCAACATCTAATGCAAATACAACAGATAACTCATCATCCTTGTTGCGAGATGAGAAAGATGATGATCGTTTACCGAAATCCTTGGCTTCAGGAACACATTTTGGTTTTTTCGATGGGCAAAATGAGTCAAATTTTGAAGAAAGTTATGGAACATTTAGCACAACCAAGAGTTTGTGCACAGGGGACTTGCTGCCACAAGCTCTTCATAGGGCAACTTCCCTTCCTGTTGATGCCATAGATGCTTGAGATGAGATTGGTTTTTCCTTACTATTTTTTGCACCCCAGGATGAATAAGGTGATGATAGATTGTCTGTAGTTGTCATATTTTGTACAGCCCTCAGCTCAAGGTGGAAAATACCATCGTTTTGAGATCTGTTGTGAGAGTGTACATTGCCATCTAATATCATACTTATATACACATGGGGTTTTCCCTTGATCATCATCGTCATCGCTTGATTAGACTGTCTCGACTATATTTGGAAGGAATATATATATTTTTAATTACTTATATTGAAGTTAAAGTGGGTAGACGTGTATTTAATTCGTTTGGTAATTATGTTTATCATTAAATTATTAGTGCTTGGTTTGAAATTATATACACTGTTGTAAATGAAGTTTTGGTTTCTATGGCAAAGAAAATGATTGCATTGATTAAAATTTTAATCAAAAGTTCATCGAGGATGCACAGATGGTAAAACCTTTTTTTTTGTAATCTGGGTGTTCGGTTTTTTAGAAACCTTTATTAATTCCAATATTTTAGCAGTTGCTGATGAATTATCTACTAGAGATCTTAATTTCCGGCGGATTTTACCATTTTCCGGCGAATTCCGGCCGTCGGAAACTTCTCGTCGGTTTATTTAAAAATTTGTGATTAAATTAATAAAATATTTAAGTTTTTTAAAAAAATGAATTAATTTACTGACAGACATCCGTCGGAAATCTTCCGGTAACCGTTCCGCCGGAAAAAGAAAATAATTTTAAAAATATGACTTTTTAAATTTCAAAAATTACCCCAAAAAATTATATAAATATTTATTTTATATTATTTTTACAATTAATATTTAAAACTTGTATTTAAAACCTATAAATCTGTAAAATATTAAAAAAAAAACTAAAAAGACGCAATACAACTAAATATCATTCATTAAATTAAACAACAATTATCTCAACCAAACAAAAACTAAATTGGTTCAAAAACTAAATTGTTTCAAACAAACAAAGAATATTCAATACGGTAAGCGGGGAAAATGTTAAAATTGACTGAGCTGTCTAACCAAAGCAGCCATATCTTCAAGGTGTTTATCTCGTTGCTCCTCCTTCTTTCACCATCGCTCCTCTTCCATCCGCCGTCGATCCTCCGCCGCCCGCCATCGCTCCTCCTCTGCAATCCGTTGGCGCTGACTTTATTCCTGTAAGTCTCTAAGTTGGGTCCTTAAGGTTTCAATTTCCTATAAAATAAATAAAACGTTATAATATTTAATATAAATTATAAACTAAATCGATAAATATCATCAAAGCAAAATAGGCACATACCCGACTCTCCGAAGAAGATGAACCACCTTCTGTGTAGTTCCCAGTCAATACCCAATTGGGATCCTTGTTGTATCCAAACCCAAATAGACGGCATTTCTTGTTTCCCCCAGCCGCCTGCTCCCACAACTCTTTATCAACTAAGGGATATGTGGAGGGATCATCACCGTATCTTTGGGTGAGACCCGTTGAATAATCATCTTATATATGATTTAAAAAAGATTATAAGTCAATTTTGACAGCATGACGGCTGTAAATCGGACGTTTCCAGACAAAACAATAGTGTTACATACGAAAATTGTAGCCAAAACAATTCTAACGTTTGTCCAACAAATGACAATCCAAACTAAATATTGATACAATCAAAATTTATAACTTAAACAATCCTAATGTTTGCCCACCAAATGGCAACTCAAACTAGATTTTAATTTAAACGTATCAAATGTTTGCCCAACCTAGATAGATAGTTAGGTATCCAATTATATACAATAAAATAGATAGATATACTTACCATGACTTGGCTACACTTAGAGGTCATGTACCCCCCAGAATCTGTAGATGCGACATCTCCACTTGACCTCTTCTTATGCATATAATCGAACAATTCCACAACGGTCGGTGGCACGTCGTCTTTTGCTTGTGTCTACAAAGGTCAAATAATACGAACATATGTTAATTATAATATATTACAAATCAAGCTACTAAAGTAATGGGTTTTAGGTCCTACCAAACGAGCACCATGCTCTGAAAATGGGATCGATCCACCGGTGTGTAGCGCAACTTGGCTATCACGGTTCCCACGCGCCATACCGGAAACAGCCCTCCAATTGTCATTGTTTCAACAATCGACCATCTGGATCCATACATCTGAAAATACAGCTGGGGGGGGGGTTCTTTAACACACTCATATCCAGTGTGGGTCGGTTTCATCGTATTGAGGATACCTATTCCTCTTTGCTTTTTCCCCAGCTTATTTCCTCGCGGTNTTAGGTCCTACCAAACGAGCACCATGCTCTGAAAATGGGATCGATCCACCGGTGTGTAGCGCAACTTGGCTATCACGGTTCCCACGCGCCATACCAGAAACAACCCTCCAATTATCATTGTTCCAACGATTGACCATCTGGCTCCATACATTTGAAGATATCGGGGGGGGGGGAGTTCTTTAACACACTCATATCCAGTGTGGGTCGGTTTCATCGTATTGAGGATACCTATTCCTCTTTGCTTTTTCCCCAGCTTATTTCCTCGCGGTACTCAAGTTGTCATTATATAGCTTGACCGACTTTGTCTCTAGGATCTGGGCGTCCAAAGTCGAATCCCAAGTGTATTAGCCCTGTACGTAAGAGTTTAGTCGCTTCTTAGGTTTAAAAAAATATCAAAAATATAACAATTTAAAAATATACCACGAACCTGGAACCGCTCCCACGTTCGGCATCTCACGTCCCTTGGGATTTTTCCCAAGTGATCCATGGGCCGTCAAGCAGCTCTTGGTTGATTTTGGTGATCCTCCGGATCACTCTGGTGCCATTAAAACTATATAAATAATGAATTGAATTAGTATCAACACACAATTATTTGTATCAATTAAAAGATATAAATGTATTTACTTTTTGCCGTGGATGCTAATAATCGTCTGTTGTTGTGGAAGCGGCTCCGAAGCAGCACTACCACGACCAGACTCTATCTCCTCCGGGTGTGCCAAAGCAATACTAGAGGCTCTACCAATACCGCGGCTAGGTGTACTGCCACTACCTCGACCGGTAATCCGAGTATGCGGCATCGATTTTTCTACAAAGCAACGTTAGAAAACATACAACAATAATTCAAGTATACAGTAAATATTTCACACAATAACAGATGTCGAACAATGGTTTACTAAGATTTAAAAATGGAAATAATATATATTTAAAACAACTAGACAAATTTTACTAAGAATAAAATTTACATAAGAATTTAATTATCTGATGAGTGATCAGACATACTGATCACAGATCTCTTAATAACACTAATAATTAAGTTAAGAATAACCAAATTATAGTGTTTGAATTAATAAAATGATGAACACTCAAGAACAATTAATAAACGTTCTACGAATATGCTTGAGTGCCAAAGATTTCACTTTATTCCAATGATGTGAAAAACATAAAGTGTCAAAAATTACAATAAGCCTAACCATCTATTTATACTAGTAATCTAATAAGAAGATAACTATCTAGTGAGACTATTTAGCTAATCTTCTACTAACAGATAAAGCTTATCTAAAACATGGATAAACATTAAAGCAAGATAAACTTTGTAGAATCCAGCTGTTGGTTGGTCATCTCTAGCTGTCTTCCATGGGGTATGAGTTCAACCTTATCTTCATATCTTCATTGCTTGCCTCTGGTTGAACTGGTGAGGGAAACTTCAAGTGTTAGTACCCAAAGGGGTTATGAAGATGCACTTTTTATCGCATCTCTTGTCAGTTCATCGACCCTCTGGTTGTTCTTCAAACTTAGTCATTTTTTCCTTGAAGTCTTCTATCGGCCTTCTGGTTCTTCGTCACTTTTTTGTCATCATTACTTCATGCATAATACTTATGGGGTCTAACAAGACAAGTCAAGTTCTTCGTCCTTAGAGTCACTATCCGAGTATTGGAACTCCTCTTATTCGTCACCACTCTCATCAACGTGCCAGTTGTCACGACGATCATTGTCAACTTCGATGTCGTCTTCCCTTATGACAAGATGGATGGGTTCTTGAACATCTTCATTTCCCTCATGTTGGGTTATTCTACCATTTTCCTGGAAAAACTGTTCATTGTCCATATTTTCATCCGAAGGTACTTTAGGGGTACTCGATGCTAAGTCATAGACCCCTCTTGGCAATGTCTTCACCACATACCACCAATCTTTTAATGAATTCGATGGATATAGTACATAATAGACTTGTTCAACTTGTGATGCTAGGATGAATGGGTCGTCTAAACGAAGTCTTTATCTATGTTTGACGTCCACGAGATTATGTTTTGGGTCAACTCGGACGTCGTTAACTGTATCAAACCATGTGCATTTGAATAGTGGGACAACATAGCGGCCGAGCTCATACCCATGATATTCTATATCGAGGACTTCATCCAACAATCCATAGTAGTCGGCTTAGTAATCTGAGTAACAAGACCCTCTCACGCATACTCCACTATTATGTGTGGTGTGATTTCTACCATGAGCTAGCGTGTAGAACTTGTAATTGTTTACAAATAACCCAGGTGTTTCCAAACCGTACGTAACGGTTTGTATGCCAAAATCATAAAGATTTGAAGCAGGGTCTGACCGAGACATACAATCATTTCATTTGTAATATTTTATTAAGTACATATAAATAATGATTAATCAAAGTTAATATGTATACACTTACGTGGGTATGAAATCATCCAACAAAGTGATCGCCCCTACGTTTGTCGAGACCCGCTTCATCAATATATGGCTCTCTATTTATAATCTCCGTATTGAAGATATCTATGACTGAAAAAACTTCTTCACAATTCAGTAAAATGTAGGTGTGAGCTTTGTGCATATCTTCATCGATAGATTAACATGCATTTCGCCTTTATTAAATAATCCTCGACACGGAGTTTTAAATATCTTTAACCGTTGGTCTGAAGACGAACAATCGGGGGCAAAAATTTTGAGGCTCACGGTTCAGTCGTGTCTCTACCGTTTTCCAAAATACAGCGAGCAGTAGGTAGATAGTTCATTAACCAAATATGCTTCTACAGTTGACCCTTCTACCCTTGATCTGTTCCTCACTATCCTTTTCAACGACCCTGGACGTCTCTCATAGAGATACATCCATCGATATTGAATCGAACTTCCACCTATTGCTTCACGTGCCAAATGTACCACAAGGTGTTCAATGGAATCAAAGAATCCCGGTGAAAAGACTCTTTCCAACCTGCAAATAGTTTCCACTATACTTGTCTGCAATTGAA